TTTAGTTCATTATTAAATTCATGTAATTCATTTGTCAACAACTTTTAAATGACAATAAATTTGTTTTGTTTTTTTGCATCATTATATGTACATATAATCACTGCATCTGATTTCTATAAATTTCTATTAAACGAAATATAATATATAATATTCTATTAAACGAAATATAATATATAATATTCTATTAAACGAAATATAATATATATTAATATGTTAATAATATGAATTAAAATATGTATATAAATCATTGTATGATTTCAAATTCATTATGCTTTCATTATAAATAATAAAAAATATATAAATCAATCAATATTTATAATAATAATAATTATAAATATTATAAATATATAAAATATTCATAATTCATTAATTATTTTAAAATTAACAATATATTAATTATATAAAACTTATTAATTATTTGTTATTAATGCTAATTTTTCACAACATTTTCATTCATAAATTATTATTAAAATAATTATAATAAATAAATAAATAATTATAATTTCATAAAAAATTTTAAAATTATTATTTATTATTGATACTATTATATCATTCCGATGATTTGATTCTGATAATCATTGATGATCTGAGTGTATACTTAAGAAATAAAGAAGTAGATTTTAGATACATCATTTTCATTATTCATGATTTAAAAATATCTACTTGCTGTTTACTTTATATGTACGTACTAGAAAAGGATGCAAAATTCTACTTTTAAATAAAGTATAACCCGAATTAGATAGAATGAACAAAGCCAATAATACGCACTTTTCTTGATAATCTTTTATCATTTTTCGATATCAAAGCACCATGCATCACACATAGTTGTATAATATACATTTTAATTTACCGATAACGAGTCTAGACATCATAGAAGCAAGTCCCTTGGTAAGATCATAAATATATAATTCTACTATTGTCTTCACATCTTCTGCGTTTTCCATCTTGTCTAGCTGTAACAAATAAACAAAAATAGATATTTCAAACAATAGAAATTTCACAATAAAAAGAAATAAAGAAAATATTTAATAAAATATTTTGTAATAATAAATAATAAAAAATTTATTGTTTAATAATTATTTCATAGATTTATTAATTAATGCATATTTCCCGCGTAAACTTTTATATAACTAATAAATATATTATATATCAAGAATATGCTACTACGTCAAACAAATGAAAGTTAGTTGCATCGTTCTAATTGGTTACATCGAAATCATCGACCAATCAAAAAACAATTTAATTTAAATTAATCATTCAGCTTTCGTCACAATTAGAAAGACATTGATCAAAAGTTTTATAAATGGTTGAACTTAAAATACTTTTCAAATCTATTTTGCGTACGATAGAGAATCTTCCAACGCACCTCTGTATGTCGTTTATGATGGATGTAACGAGTAGAAGACGTAAATATACTGGATGTCCCGCACAAATGAACTCATTCGCTTTAATAGACGTTAGAACTTGTTTTGCGGCTGACACTTTTCTCATCGCGCATCAGATGGAGCGCAGTGTGTACGAGATCACATTCACACCTACACTACCGGTTAAAAATATGAGACCACCTGATCTTATTGTTATTTTTCACGATTGGTATATTAACAACGTTAAATCTATGATTAATGTATGTTCACATTAAATGTGCTCATTTGACATTTATATTTTGTGACAAAAGCTTGTTGGTATATAATTATAATATTAACCTAGAGTTTATAATATATGAAAAATAATTTTACAAATATAAATATATATTCATATTTAAAATATATTTCATACAAATAGAAATTTAAATTTATTAGAATAAGACATTCAAATAAGATATAAAAACATAAATTTATTTCATATATATGTATATATATAATATATTTTAGTATATATTAATATATATATTATATAAAAACTAAAATAAAATAAAATGTAAAATTATAAAAATTAAAAATTTTAATTATAAAGAATTTATTGTAAAAAATTATAATTTTTGAATTTAATCAAATAATAAATTCAATATTATCTTTGACAATGAATCAATAATGTTAGTTATGCGATTTCTATAAATATTATACTTCATATAATTTTTTGTATATAAAGAATATGAAATTTTGAAAATATATAATCGAATATATATACTATTTAAAATTATTTGAATATTTTCAAATAATTTATGATATATATATATATTTATTTGTATCATATAATACATAAATTCAAAATAAACATATAAAAGTGAATAATAATTTATAAATAAAGTATATAAAACTAAATTAAAAATTAAAAATTAATAAATAACATATATTTTTTTATTATAAATAAAAAAATAACAAAAAATTTCATACCTACCTTTTTGTTTTCATTGACGATAATTTATTAATAAGATGAATAAATTATTACCAGAATACAAAATTAATAGTAATAAATAATAATGAGCAATAAATTGAAAAAATGAAAGATAGAATAATTTGACGTTGACACGTCAAAATAATAGAATAATAATCGATATTAAATGATGATACAGCACAAATGAAATGTACACCTTCTACTTGATGGGTACTAGCTAGCAATGCAACTGCTCGCGCCGAAATCTACCGGAGCCAGACACTAGTGTGGAGATACGGCGCGCTAGTCGTTTTCGTAGGAAGAAACGGTAAAGAGGTAAGAGGGTCATCACGCGAAGGCAGCGCCTGCCTACCGGCATCACGGTCAATAACACAAAACACAATACAATATTATGGACAAATTTTGAACAGATCATTCAAATACAGAAATATTATTTTTTTCATATAATATGACATCTTAACTTCCAATATTGAAAATAATCTTTATTATTAGCTTTTTTTTTTTTTAAAAAAAAAATTATAGAAACGCTTTTTTTACAACAGAGATTGATTAATTTAAAAACTTTATTTGATCATATTCTCAAATAATATAATTATTAATTGTATATACATAAAATATTAAATATATATTATATATATCACAGATTTGTATATTATTATATAATTATATTTACATATATATACATGATATATAAATATTTTTTCTATTCATTTTTGAACAAGAAAAAATATTTCTCTGAATATATATTATATTCGAAATTACATTCTTTTTTTAAATAATATAACTATATGAGAAAATGATTTCATTATGTTACGCTATTTTTATATTATTCTTCATTTGACTAATAATTTTAATATTATTTTAATTTTCATTTTATTTCAAAATCGCTAAAAGATATTTTAATAAATAAATAAATTACTTAATTTAATAATAGTAATAACTTAATAATAATTACTTGAATTTATAAAATAATACTAAAATAATTCATATTACAAAATAATCTATTTAAAATATTATTTAAAATATTATTATAATAAAATTGTTAAATAGAAGCACTTTTTATATGAATATTTTTTATTAAAAGTATAAATCATAAGAAATATTTCTTATTTTAGATGAATATTTTCAATTTTTTTAACAAAATTTAAACAATTTATTTTTTTGAGCAAATTTCAGAATAATTATTGTTTTATAATTCATAATGAATAATTAGAAAGATAATAAATTATAAAGAATTAATATAAAAAGTAAATGAATTAGAAAAAATTTTTGTTTCACCATAATAAGTTCCAATTATACATAGCAAAAATATTAAATAAAACAAAAGTATGAATTCATTTACATTTAGTTATAAATTTTCATTAAAAAAAATTTAACAGAATATATTTTACAAAAAAAATCAAATATTTTGCATCAAGAGTTTAATATTTTTAGAAAAAGAATATATAATCCTAAATAATAACAATAATTTATTATAAATAAATTTATTTATATTTATATATATTATATATTATGAATAATAATTCATAAATATAATTATTTATTAAAGTACAAATATATTAAAATTTTAAAATTATATATGTAAATATATATGTAATTTAAAATAGTTCAATGTTATCATGTTTTCAAAATTAAAAAATATTATGTAATGTATTTTAAAAATATTATATCTTATACATATTTTTTTATATGTTATTACATTTATTGTTTTTTCTTTTATAATTTTTTTGTTCTATTTAAAGTGTAAAATTCAAAATTTTAAATATAAAATTTTTAATTTTTTATAATTAATTCTAATAGTTTTAATATTTAAAATAATTTTTTATACAAAAAATAAAAAATCAAGCACTAGGTATTCTAGCTAATTTAAATAATATGTTAAAAAATTTTTTTAACATATATATATTAGAAAATGTTATAAATTATATTATTATAACAGATTAATTAGTATATTCATATTATATGTAATAGTATATGATATATTTGATATTATACAATATTATTCCTATTGCAAAATTAGATATTAAATATTATATTTTTTTAATAAAATTAAAAAATTCTTGAGTTTTAATTAAAATAAAAATTTTAATAATAGATTTTTGTTTTTAAAATAAAATATTAAGAGATAAATATATATTTTATTTTGCAAAGCTTAAAAATAATAGTTTATAGATCATTGCAATTCTATTATTAATATTAAAAAAATAATTATTAATATTAAAAAAATTGAATCTGTAATATAAAAAAATATATATACATATATTAATATATAATTCAGTAACCATATTATTTTTTTACTTTTTATATTATGATTTATATAATGATTAATTAAATATATTTTTTGATATAATTACTTATTAAGTATTAAAATATATTAAGTATTAAATATTAAAATGAAGATAAAATGATAATATCTATTTTATTTATAATCGAAGACGATCACCTGGTAATTGGCAACCACCATCACCGTGGCCATGACCGGATACCAATTTACGATCAGTTCAATAACCTGTGTCACTGTTTTACGATTCCTATCTTATAGTTCAACCATTTAAAATAAAATAGCAAGAACAAGATTATATATTGCGCAATGTCGCCTATATTGCATGTTGTTCTTTGACATTCAAACAAAATACGCGTAAGTGAAAGTGTTAAAAAATAAACACAAGAGGGCCAATACTATAACGTAAAACAATTCGTATCGTAAGAAGACATTTCTCAACAAATAAATACGGGGTGACTCAAAAAGTATAGACAACGCGTTTGTTTTTTTTAAATTTTAAAGTTAAAACTATAAAAATAAAAAAAAATAAAAGAAAATAAAATAAAATTACAACATCTGGTTGCCAAATGTATCTTTGTATGGATTAAAAGTTATTAACTGACATTGCTCGTGTTCCTTCGAGTGGGGAAAATAGGGTGCATATATATACATCGAAAAACGTGTAATAACTTAATTTTTTTACACATGAACTTACCTAATCTATATTGAAGTCGCGTACTTGTTAATTTATTATCTGCTACGTTAAAAAAATAGTATATAGTCGCAAAAATTCTATTGAAATTTATTGGTAAGCAATTGAACTGTTATCTTGTCGACATAAAACTGTAAATTTTATATGTTGTATCTTTGTTCGTATGTTAAAAAATTTTAAGAAGAAAAATAACCAACTCGGTAATGAGAATGATTGATATAAACACGATATTTGCAATATTTTATTCGTATTTACAAAATCATGCAGAGGTTAGGATACTAGATGTTGACTCAACAATTTTCTTACACTTACTAGGGACTTTAGCAACATTGTGTTATAAGCAAGCAAGTTAAACAGGAATTGAACAGCTGATGCTTCGTCAAGACCGGCGAAATGTCAAAGTCTAGGCAAATTGTAAGTTACCTATTGTTAAATGGTTAACCTCGACTATTTAGTTTACATAGAAAACTTGAGTAAAATTAAATAATATTTTATCAAAAAAATAAGTTATTTTTTTCAGAAATTATGAGATTTTTATAATTCATGCAGTAACGTGTAACTTACTAAAAGTTCCCAGATATGAATTCAATTGGATTTTATTTCTTTGTTTTTCTTTTATGATTTTTTAAAATCTCTAATACTAATATGTGTACGTATGTATATATGTGCAAAGCAATATACATTAAAACCTTAAATTTAATAAAAATATTTATAATAAATAATTTCTTAATGTATTTGTTTTTTGAACTGAATATTTTATTTTTTATATAATTTTTTCATACATTTTATAGACTTTTATTATATAGATTTATATTCAATAAAAAATTTATATATTTTAGTTTTTCTATAAAAAATTCATTATTAATGTAAACTAAATTTATGAACTTATATATATATATATATATATATATATATATTATTTTA